TTTTTTTTATAAATATATAATAAGTATACTCAGTTGATTATTTTAAGGTTATATTTAAATTATTTCAGTTTTTTTTCGTTTTTTTTCTTAAATGGTGTCGCTATGGGCTACACCATCTTTGTTGGCTCACAAACTGTGTTGGTCCAGCCCATAGCGACACTGTTGTGGCTCATTCCAGCCATCCCTCCGCCAAAAAAAAAAAAGCCACGTGGCATTGGTGTCGCTATGGGCCATAGCGACACCGTTGTAAACAACCCCAAAGACGTAAATAAATTCAGAACAACCCCATTTACGTAAATAACTTGGTCAACGACCCCACTTTGGTCAAAAACCCGCACTATGTTACTTATAAACTATTATAATTATATATTATTTGGACATGTCTTCCTAATGTAATGTGCAGGTTATCTAGGCTTGTCATTATTAGCCAAGAATCTTCATGTCTGAGCTTGCATTGTAGTAGTCGTGGCACATATAGGAAATAGATGGAATTGACCATGTACCATTCCATGTATTCTCGTGTGTGAAATAATGGACCTAAATCATGAAAGAATGTCCTGCTAACATCCTGTTAATTCTTCATTCCGACACCATCCTGTTAATCATATCTCCTGTAAACTTCACATGATAAAATGTTTTTTCATTATTAGAATAAAATTGATAAGAGAGAGAAAATATTTTATTTTTATTTAAAATTAAATTAAATTATTATATTATCTTTTATACGAATTAATTAAATTAAAAAAAATTAGTGATTTTTTGGTCCTTAAATTTTGGTGTAAATTGTTAACATACTCTTACTAAAAAATAAGTGGGAATATATTAGCATTTCCCCTTATAAAAATTGTTAAAAATACTCATATGGGATTTTCAGAAATTAAAGATTTTTATGTTTGACTACAATAATATATTTCAGGGTATATATATTTTTTTTATGAAAATATCGTTTATTAAAATAAACTCATTAAATATATTTATTTACTCAAATTTTATTACAAGTATGACATTAAACTATTTTAAAATAATAAAAGCTTCCTAAAATTATTTTAATACATAATTCAACAAAAAAATGTTGAATTATAATTAAGAAGAATAAAAATATATTATTTTATTTTATATAAATAAAAAAAAATAATAAAAAATAAAAAGTGTTAACAAATACCGTTAAAATGTAAAAATAAAATAGATTTTAATAATATTATTAAAATTGACAAGGTCAAGAAATAAAAAATGGAGAGAAATAAAGATATGAGAGAGAGGGGGGACAGAGGGGGAGAGTGTGTGTGTGTGGGGGGGGGAGAGGGAGAGGGAGAGGGAGAGAGGAAGAGAGGAAGAGAAGGGGGAGTGAGAGCGAGAAAGGCAGAGCAAGAAAGAGAGGGAGAGAAAGATAAAGACAAAGAGAGAGAGGGAGAGGGGGAGTGAGAGTGTGTAAGAGAGAACAAGAAAGGGAGAAAGAGAGAGATAGAGAAAGAGATATTTTTATTTTGTTTTAAAAAGGGATATTATGGTATTTTTAGTTAAATACATAAAACTTTCTCCTTAAATCGGGAAAGTTGAATTCCCACCTTCCTATGAAAATATTCTTGTGAGAAAGTGAAATAAAAATGGTTCTCGAAAAACTATATTATTGAAAATCTTTTTTTCTTAAATAGTTATCAAACATGAAAAACCAAGATTTTCGGAGAAGTAAAAAAAATTTGCATACCTATTGCTCCCTAGAGTTTGGAGTGTAATACTTCAAAATCCATAAGAAAAAAAATATACTTTCAAAAAGTACTTTCTAGAAGTGTATTTTTTGGTTCCAAAAAGTACTATTCGAAAATGTATTTGTTATCTTCCAAAAAAATATTTTTTAGAAGTATATTTTTACTCTTGAAATTTGGGGTGTAAATCATATTTTTAGGAAAGACTTTACAAAAGCAAAATGATATATTTTCGAAAAATACTTTCCTAGAGTATATATTTTTAGAAAGTATTTTTAAAAAAAATGGTATTTAAGGAATAAATAAAGAAAAAAAGATATAAGGGATATATTATTAATTAATGGAGGTGTATATAACAAAAACCTTAATTTTATGAATATTTAATAATTTATTTATTATTATTTTTTAAATCCATTGAATTTTAATGTAAGATATTTATTGGATTGAAATTTTAAAATACTAACTTTACGTAAAATATTCAACCTTTGTTAGTATTGCTTGTTGCTCTCCTAGTAGCCATTCTTACCATTTTTCATTAATATTTTTCTTTCTTAACCTTTTTAAGTGTTTTGCGAGTAAGAATGTCAATAAGTAGCTCACTATTTAAAAAAGAGTATGCACTCCACGTGAGTAATAATTTTAAAACTTATACCCTTCTCAATTGGCACTTAGATGTTCATTCTCAACTCTTACTCGCCCTTTAATTAACTAAAAAATTAATAAATAAAAAATATTTATTAAAAAAATAAGAATAGTAAAATTAAAGTCCAATTCAAAAATCTTTTACAAGTCATGATAATCATAATCATAAAACATCACAAATGTTGTAATAATCTTTCATAATAACAAATCTATGAACTTGAGTCTAGAACCTCCACTCCAAAATCTGAAAAATAACAACAAATTACACTAATTAGTTATTATCCTGAATTAACAATAAATAGGAAGTATTAATGAAATTAGTTAAAAAATAAGCAAAAAAATTAAAAATAAATCAATCACTAATCTTTTAAATTTTTCAATAATAATTGTTGTTATTATTGTTATATGTGTACATAAAATTAGATATTATATATATTTGTGAATAATTAATCGTACTTGAATCTGTATTCATTAAATAAGTAATTATCTTAATATATTTTTTTTATGGATATTTACCGAGTTCCGTTGTCATCCCTATTCACGAGTCTTTAAATTTCATTTATTATTCCCTCACTTTTCAATACACCACTTATTTTGTAGCTATCGACTTTATTTGATTAGCATCTCCCTAAAGATGTGATGAGATTCACATCTCATCCTGTAACGCTTATTATCCGTGGAACCCCTTCATATAGAATTGCATTCTTGTTGTGAGTTATCATTTAATCAAGAACGGGTGTTAGGGTAGGGTGGGAGGCTCCATAATGTCTTAACCATGATCATTAGATCTATTGAATTTTAAATTTATGGTTTTTTTTTTGTCTCTTTCGTGTTCTTAAAATGATATTAAAAAATTCTACCAAAGAAAAACATGAAAAGTCTACCCAGAAAATGATATGAAAAATACAACTCAGCCACGTGAATAACAGTCCGATAGATGCTGCACCCATTATATATACTCTGGCACACTTATTCCGAAACACATGATGGGTTCAGTATTTAAAAAGATGGGTGCAGGAACTGATTCTCCTAGTCGGGTTGCTTCTGGGAGCATTGTCCAATTCAACCCTCTTTCATGGTTTTGATTTGTAATTTCTACTAAGCCATCTCATTATTTCATTTATACCATTCGATTGCTGCTTAAATGCAGCAAACTTGAGAACGGGTTGCATTCACCATGAGTTCATGACCAAGGATCAAGCTTTGATACAAATGATAGAGGTAGTTAAAAGGAGAAATGGTAAAATGATATAGAAGGGGCGAACAGAGGAAGAGAGCTGAGAGAAGAAAGAAATCTTAAATTCTGATTATTCAATAGCTTGACACCTATACATACACCTGACTACTCTTAACTCTTCAACCAAAAAGGATACAACAGACCAACAGGAAGATACAATGGCAAGCAATGACTTTTCACAAAATGACTCTATCATAGAAGTACTTGTATCAATTAGCCAACAATGATCATTGAATATTTCTGGGAAGATGATCTAAAATATAATGTCCAAGACGGCCTGTACGAAAAAGATTAAGCAACTTCCCAGCAACCTTGTCATGAGCTTCTTCTTCACATTCAATTGAAATGCGGAACGCTTCCTGTAAGGCAGTAAACTGCCTAGCAATAAGTGCTTCCATTTCATCTTCACATCTTAAATCGCCTTCAAAAGATGAAATTGTTTCAAAAAGTGTTCGTCGAACATCCTGCACTATGCAGTCCTGTGAAACCAAAAGTTAAAAAGCAAAAGCATTTCAACTTTTGAGAGAGCAAAGACACTGACCAACAATGAAGTTTGTTTAACTAGTCTTCACAATCAGATGAACCATGGGAAATGAAGAAAATAAATGCACATATGGAACTTTGTCATCCAACTCAATTTCAATTTCTAGTGTCAAACTGGAAATCCTCATGCTGATTCTTCACTGGAGCTCCAATAGAAGTCAGTCAACTTCCAAAGAAATGCTAACTACTTACAAAAATTTGCCTCCTTTATTAGTTTCCAAAATTTTGTAGTTACATATTTAACTTGGGAATCTTTTGTTTGGGTTAAATTCTTTTGATTATCACTAATCTCCATGATCTTTTTCATATCAATCAACACAATGGAATAATTCTATGGAAATCCTATCTTGTTCCATGAGCTCTATGATTTTTAGTCTCATCAACTTGGGGTTAGTTGCATCTCTTGATAGAATTCTGCCATGGTATCGGTGGACAACTCATGTTTGGGCAATTCATTAATGTATACAAGGGGAAAATAACCTTCATCTCATGAGCTAGTTTTTGGAATTGAGTCAAGCTCAAACCCAAAATTCTAAGGATCTCTTTGATTGTCCTTTTATTCTTTTGCTAGCTGTGTTATTTTTTCCAGAATACAATTAATAATTTTTTTAATCATACACTGGAAAACATTAGATGAGCATTAAGATAATAATTGTAATAAAATAAGGTACCTGTGTGTGATCAGTTGGGATTTTGTTTTTCTGCTTCATATGCAACCCAGAGCTAGTCAAGAAGCATTCTGTTGTGCCGTTAAGGAATAATCTATCATTATCACTGGTAGATAATTTTGCCCATTTTTTATATTGCTCACTAGAGTTGTGAACAGCTAGAAAATATTGAGCAACTTCTTTTCTCCTGACCAAACAATCTCCAATTGCTCCTGGATATAGATTAAAATGAAGGTAAGAACCCGAAAAACTAGAATAGTTTATGTGGAAGTTTTAACTACAAAATAAATAACACATTTCCTTTTATGGGATTGGTTTTGTTCTTGGGTTCACTCACTTGGAAGTTACCGTGTGCTCGTGAAATGAAAATTACTCTACACTAACTTGGTATAACAAAAAAGATGTAGGATGATGCTAAGTAGAAAGTGCATTGTGTAGAAAATATCAAAGCATGAGCATATATGCGATAGTATGGTGCAACGTGCAGAGCAAAATGGAAGAATATTCGAGAACCATTTTAATATGCACCAACATAATTAGTTTGGAATAGGATAGTTCAATTGTTTTTGCTAGTCTGGTCTTCTGTGTCCATTCACCTGTTGTAACTTGTAACATTTTCAACTTGTGGTATTGAGTTTATTTTCTAGCTGGATCACAACATTCTAGGTCTTATATTTGTGCGGTAAAAAAAAATTCCTTCAAGCTGTCACGATGCTTTTCTATCATGAATGACATCTTAAGCAATTTTCCATTTCATCTACCGTGTTTGAATCTTATAATTTACATGATCCTCTATTTCCTCCTCATTTTATATGAAGGACGCAAGATACTTAAACCACCACCCAATGATATAAAAACATTTGGCCTATTGTTGATTGCTAACTAATAATGTCTTCAGTTTTAATCAACAAATACCAAATCTTATGCAGCGGTTCCAAATTTCAATAATATTCATTTGAGCTATGAAACAAAGCAAACCAGAGGAAGTACAAAATTAATAGAACATACCTGTTAAAATTAATTTAGATAAAACATCAACACTAGGAACCTTGGGAGATAAAATAGCTGGAGTGTCTAATACGTAGATGTTGGGATGGCTACCAATCTGAAAGGAATTCAGAAGTTTTAAAAGTGAGAAAAGCACAAAAGGTGTACAAACACATGAATACGTACGTGCACAGGAAGTATGGAGATCATAGTAGCATAGATAGGCCAACAAAAAGGATAACAACCTTATCTAAACATATACATATGTGAATATTTTCTTCAAACAGACATTTACCCCATTCAAAACTGTTATTCCCTGGTGCAAGTCAATATAATATATAGAGAAAACAAAAGGCTAACCTTAAAACTTCGTATATCTTTAGTCTCCCCTGGCTCTGGACTCACAGTTGCATGCTTTAACTTTCCCTTTTCTATAAAATAAAAAGTGAACAAGAAAAAAAATGTTACAAGATAAAACTGAAAATTATCTGAATATATGCATCCACCAGTATTCTCACAAGTTGAGCACGTCATTTAGCCTATTCATTAGAATTGTAATAATAATTTGAATACCTGCTGCACTGATTCTCCCTACTTGATGCAAGGCATTGGTAAGTGCCGACTTTCCAACATTAGAAATCCCAATTAACATTACTGTAGCAGTATAATTATTGTCACACTGATCAGTTCCCCTCAATTCACTCACTTGGCGTTGTATTAGGCTTAAAAGCTATCTAAAAGCAAAAGTCCCAATTAGTAAATTTGTTTATGAACAACTCTAAAATCAGCATCAATTAACAAAAAATAATGTAATTAAATTAAAGAAAAAACTCAATATTAGTACTGAGAATATAATGTACTACGGTAGGACATCCAATACCAAATATGGAATCTCACAAGTCATTCCAGCCATGGCCCATTTGCTAAGGTCTTTTCCACAGACTTAAAGATGCAATGGCAATAGAAACAAAGCAAAAATAAAAAATAAAAAAATCACAGAATCATTAAAAGGAAAGGGAGAGGAAAACAAAAAAGAGAAAGAACCAAAAGAATTGGCAACAATATAGTTCAAACATTTTTCAGAATCTCTAACTGATAGGTTATTCTCCCTACTATTGATGTGCTTTACAGACAAAAACAACAGATGCACCAGATGTACACATATTCCTTATATACAAGTGATATCAAATGTGAGTTCAAAATTAATTCAAATCTATTTAAACATTAATGTACACAACAGTAGTATTCAAAATTCGAAACTTGGTTTCATGTTCTTTAATAATTTATGAGGCTAAAAACACCATGATATTTACAATGAGATCATTCATTCCTGAAGCTCCTTGGAAGAATGCACAGAAAGGGAACGCAGTTTACCTGTTTGATGCTGTCCTTGTTATGAGCATTGACTCCACAAGATATGCAGTTCCTTTCCCTAAAATATTCCATCCATGCCTATTCACAAAACATTTACTAAATAAAACAAAATTCACTAATTAATAAATCTAAAAGGAATACATTTTCACTCGTTACCTAACATGGTTATTTGGTTGAGTTTGGTTAAACTCCATAAGTCAATTTTTCAGAATAGTTTTAGTTAGTAAGCAGTAACTTATTTGGTTAGGAAGTTAGATTCTAGTTGAATATAAGCTTAGAATCACTTTTGAAGACTTCTCTATTGGAAAATACTTTTCATTTTCAGTAGCTAAACTCTTAAAAATACTTCTAACTTGTATCCAAACAAACCCTTAGCCCAGATTACATTGTAGCCCAGATTGCATTGTTGATTACTCTAATTAGACTAGCTCCCTTGAGAGCTTCTTTAGAAGCCCATAACTATTTTGTTTACACACAACCTTTCTCATTTAGTGTGTTTGCTTTCCCGTTGGAAACTCACAAAACCAGGTTCAATGGAAAAGATAAAAAATCTTACTTCTTGGTTTGGTGCTTTGGAATGTGTACTTTTTTTTTTATCTTAACAGAAATTAGTTTCTTGTTATTTTTTCTGTTATATTTTCTGTTTTGCTGTACTGTTAATATTCTGTTATTCTCTTAGCTGGCATTGTATATATATACACCATTCTCTGTAATAATGAAAGCAGGCCTCTGTTGATCATTCTTACGAGCTTTTTACGCTCTCTCTATTCTGATTGCATATCTTTGTGATTTTATTCAACGAAACTCAATGATAAAACAAACATGCCCTTAATTTTCATTTTCTTCTCTCACCACTTTCTCTCAATTTTCTCTTCTAGACCTTGAATCACATTCCAAAAGAAAAATACTTACATATTCTGACAGTATAACTCTAGATAGGCGTCAGAAGGAGGATCTAGGTCATTCTTATCCTTTATCTGGGCGCGTAGCCCAGATGCTTGTTCTTGTATGTCAAAAAGTCTCAAGTTCCTTAAGAGTCAAGACTCATAGTTTATTGACACTTTCTTTCCTTAACTAATGATGTCAGCAAACTTGATGTCAGAAAAATTATATATTCTTTTGTTATTAACAATTGAAGCAACCTTCACTCAAAATGTTTTTACAAGTAAAAATTAAAAAGCTTAAAAATGATAAATCGAAAATAAATAAATAAATAAAATAATGCAAGAAGAAGAAGCACCTTGAGAGACGATGTGGCAGCGAGATCCATTTTGTTGAGCGCTATGATTTGTTTGGGCGAGGAACGTGAATTGTTTGCGAGAATGTCGCATTGGGAAGACAGCGGAATCTGAAAATTGAACAAACAAATAAAAATGGTGTAAGTAACGGAGAAGAGTGTAGTGGAAGAAGCAAAAAGGGAAGGGAATGAGTAAAAAGTGAAACCCTTGCGTCTCTGACATGGACGATGAGATCCGCCATTGGGATTCGTTCGGCGACTGCGCGAGACGCAGCGGCCATGAAAGAATCACGCCATGCTTTCTTCTTACTTCTTAGCTCCTCCTTCGCCGCTGTGCCTATTCGTCTACCCAAACGCGTCGCTGCCATGCCCAAATTAACTAACACATATATGCTGTGTCATTCATTTATAAATATTACAAATTTATAATATACTTTTGTTCCAAACTTCCGATTATTCTAACGGTGTAAGCATAGTTTTAAAAACTGGATGGAACTGGTTAAGGTACTGGGTCAGTGGGTCAAAGGTTGAACTAGTGGGTCACTAGTTGAAACGAATGACTCGGTTTTTATTTATTTTTATTAAAAAAATATTCATATTAAATATATTTTATATTTATAAATTTTAATAAATTTATATCTTATTTTAAATTTCAATTTTTCTATCTTATTTAAAATTATTTTATTTTTATTTTGTAAAAAAATACATAAAAAATTACATGTTAAACTGTATATTAATACAAATTAAAAATATAAATAATATGTACATATATAATATGCTTGCAATTGATATCACAAAATAATATATGTAATATCTACATATATATTATATTATTAAATATATAATTTAAAATTAATAATATACTATAAAAGTTATTTAAGTTGTATATATTGCAAACAAATATATTAGAACAAGTAGTCATTGTTATATTTAATAAGACTCCTTGCTTTTTCGTTGAGAGATTCAATTTTCATTATTATTTTTGTGATTTATGGTCCCTTAAAAAATATTAAAAAAAAAAGTGGTTGAACCGGTTTGACCCACCGGTTCACCGGTTGAACCGGAAAATTGACCGGTTCAATCCGGTTTGAAACGGGTCGACTGCATAACCGATCCAACTTAAAGTTCGGACCGGCTGGACCACCGGTTCCCGGTCCGACCGGTCGGTTCGGTCCGATTTTTTAAACACTGGGTGTAAGAGTTTAAATATCATATTTCCTTTGCTCCATCCTCACCATAAAGCACTTAAACTTGAATCAGAAATTTTTACGTAAATAATATTTTTTAAAAGAAAAATTATAAAAATGACACCTGCACAACTTTATTTACAAGAATAGATCTGTTTATTGTTCATGCTCAGAATTCGGTTCTCCGGGAACCGAATTCTGAGTTACAAACTTTTTTTTTCCTCAGAATTCGGTTCCCGGGGAACCGAATTCCGAGTTATTTTATTTTATTTTTCTTTTTTTCGTGTTTCTAGCCCATTTTGGGCAAATGTTGGAAGTGGAACAGCCCGTTCTAGAAGCAGAACGGGCGGTTCTGCTGAAAGACACAGAGTCTTTTTTTTTTTTAATTTAAAACAGGCCAAGAACAGCTAGGGGTGAGCATTAAACCGACACCCGAACCGAACCCGAAAAACCGATAAAAAATATTGTTTTTTGGTGGGTTCAGGCGGGTCTTATGGGTAAATCGGGTTAAAATTTTGATTTTATACGGGTTATATTGGGCGGGTTCGGTTTTGAATTTTTAAACCCGCCAAAAACCGAACCCAACCGAAAATGAAATAAGTTTAAATTTTTATTACTTTTGTATAACTAAACAACAATGGTCCAAACTTAAAAGTCTTTATTTCAAGTATAATATAGTCATCAATTTGTAACTTATTTTTTTCCTTTTTCTCATAACTTAGATATTTATTTTGTCTTCTCCTTCCTCATTCAACTTCTCAACACACTAGTCCATTTTTAGAGTTATCTTTTTGCTTCTTTCTTTGTCTTTCTTTTCCATCTTCTTATCTCCATTTTGAGTACATTTTGTGTGACTGTGATTTCTTATGATTTTGTAATCTAACTTTATATTTCTTTTCCATGTAACAACTATGAATTTTGTTATCTTTTATTTTTGCTTCTTTAGTTTGTAAATGTTTCAACTACGAATCTACTTACACCATCTATTGTCACCTTCATTCTATTTTTATACACTATTTTAAAAATATTTTTTATCGTTTTAAGCTTCATCTTCCTTAAGATAAATTGGTTTACAAAAAAATTCAAACCCGATTATACCCACCCGCTTAAATCCGAATACGTTTCAACCCGAACCGCCTCAAATCGAAAGCTCAGTCGGTCGGATATGGGTCACAGTTTTTCAAAGTCGGTTTACAATGGGTTGGACATTTTTCACCCGAACCCGACCAAACCCACCCGTTGCTCACCCCTAAGAACAACCCGTTTCAGAATAGAAATTTTGACATTTTTTTGAATCTGGAACGGCCTTGGAACGACCCGTTCCAGAAGACGTTTCAGGAAGTAGAACGTGTTTTGGAACGGGCCGTTCTAGTTTTAGAATGACCCGTTCTGGACAAACAGTGAAAGAAGTATTTTACTTTTTTTTTACAAATTCTATTCATAATAATTATCTTGTATATTTCACGAATCCTGATTAATTGATATTATTATAATTTTTATGTTAACAATACACTAAAAATTAAAATTTACTATTAGAATTCAAAACTATAACTCCATCCCAAATTTAATCCTTTAAGGTTAATTATCTTGGATCAAGAAATATCCAATGAATGTGAGTGAGGACTAAAAATTTATTGCTTAATATCCCATTATTTTAACTTTATTATCTTCTTTTTTTTTGTAAAAAAAACGTGAATAGTTGATGAACAAAATGCTTATTAGATAGGAATATAATTGAGTAAAAAGATATTAATTAGACTGTAAAATTCTAATGATATTTCTTTATAAATAAAAGAATGTTAAAATGGCCAAAAGTTTAAGATGAGTGAAATAATATTTAATATTAATGCTTAGAAGTTAAGAAACATTTAATATCAGTTATAAATAATATATTTAGACAACCACTTAAGATAATATCTTACGCTTAAAACGTACAATTATCCTTGAACTATAGGGAATCTATTCTCTCCAACAATATAATTATCGGATAAAATTTTAACTATTCAATCAATTTTATTAAAATAATATATTTTGTTATAAATTAAATTTAAAAAATTAAGGGTCAAATTATCACACTTCACCGTCCAAGTGTTCTCTTTGATAGGAAAATTTCTCGTCCGTCAAGCATAGTTTAAAATAATCTCAATTAATATTTATACTATATTTCGCGACTTGAAATTATTGAGATTTGAAATTTATAAAACATTAATTACTTTGGAATAAAAATTAAAGACTAAAACACTAAAAGTTTTGAAAAGGAAGAAATAAGAGTAATTATAGGATTAAATTGTAGCATTTTTACTGTTTGTCAGAACGGGTCGTTCCAAAACCAGAACGGCCCGTTCCAAACCACGTTCTACTTCCTGAAAACGTCTTCCGGAACGGGCCGTTCCAAGGCCGTTCCAGATTCAAAAAAATGTTAAAATTTCTATTCTGGAACGGGCCGTTCTTGGCCCGTTTTAATTTAAAAAAAAAAAGACTTTGTGTCTTTAAGCAGAACGGCCCGTTCTGCTTCCGGAACGGGCCGTTCCACTTCCAACATTTGCCCAAAATGGGCCAGAAACACAAAAAGAAAAAAAAAATTAAAATAACTCGAAATTCGGTTCCTGGGGAACCGAATTCTGAAAAGAAAAAGAATTTTGAAACTCAGAATTCGATTCCCGAAAAACCGAATTTCAAGCATGAACAGTAAACAGGTCTATTCCTGTAAATAAAGTTATACATGTATCATTTTTATAATTTTTCTTTTAAAAATATTATTTACGTAAAAATTTCACTTGAATCATATAAACTAATATAATATAAATAATTATTTCAATTGATTTTAGGTTAAAAATCTAATTTGATCTTTTATAATATTAAAAAAATTTAATTTGATCCTATTTTAATTTTAATTTATAATATCTTAATGTGAGATTTTCGTCCAAATTTAACTAACGGAATTAATCTTGGCCACGTGAATGCTTATGTGGATTTACTTAAAATTTTCTTCTTCTCTCTTCTTCTTCCACCGAAACCCTAGACCTCCATCAATTCCTCACATAGCACCGCGCCAACAACTACCGCGTTGTTGCCTTTGCCGACCTCAAGTCCGCCACGCGCAGCTTCAGTCGTGCCCTTCTCATTGACGAAATCGACGTCGCTGCAAGCAGAACCCCATCAGAATCAACGTCGCCGCGCACTGGAATTTTCCCCTCTTTTATTCCACGCCTTTTCATTTTCGTTTAGGGAATTTGTTTTGCCCAAGATTCTCAATTGAAAAATGATTGAGGCTCCGAATCTGTACGCTGAAAATCATTCTGAATAAATAAAATAATATTTTAAATTATAAAATATTAAATTTCCACAGGACCCGCCGACAGAGGAGTGAAGACCGGCTATTTTTCTTGCTTTTTGTGTATTTGTTTGATTGGGCTGTGTCCCACTTTCTTCATTTCCATTGTAGGAATTTCATTCTACTTAAGAAATGAAATTTTTCACTTTTGAATCCAAATTCTTTAGCATTTTAATTTCTGTACAGAAAAAGCCAAGATCAACAAAAAGGCAAAAATACAGAAAAAGCCAAAAAAAAATGACAGAAAAAGGCAAAGATTCAGAAAACCAACCGCATTATACAGAATAACTGAGCCTGGAGAGGCTTGCCGAAATAATACTCCCACAGAATAACTGAGCCTGGAGAGGCTTGCCGAAATAATACTCCCTCATCACACAGAATAATTGAGCCTGGAGAGGCTTGTCGAAATAATACTCCCCAGAGACTTCTCAGCTCACTCTCGTGGATCAAAATCCCCAGTAAGAGCTATCAAAGCAAGATCAGTAAAATTCCCCAATGGAAGCAATGATCCCCCAAATGAAATATCCGAGTCAAAAGACTCAGACTTCCTCAGTGGAAGGTAGCTTTCCAACTCAAGCGATGAGTGAAGCTGAGCCTGCAGAGGCTTCCTAAATAATACTCTAGGATACATAAAATCCTCAATCCACATTTGCCTACTCAGAGGCACTCCTTCAAAAAGAAGAAAAATCAAAAAGATTAATAATCATTCCCCAAGCGGAATCCGGCACTCGGAACATCAAGATCATTCGCCTACTCAGAGGCACTCTTTCAAAAAAGAGAAAAATCGAAAAGATCAATAATCATTCCCCAAGCGAAATTCGGCATCGAGCCAATCATTAAACGTCAAGATGATCCACCTAACAGAAGAGGCTAATCA